TATGCGTTTTTGCTGGCTGTAGCAGCGCTATAGCGCTGCTACAGCCAGCAAAAACGCATAATAAAAGGATCGAAATGGTCTATGCGAAAATTAGAGAGAAACATCTAACGCTGCCAGTACGCAAGAATAATGCTTTGAAACGTCAGAGGTAAGTAAATATGCGCAAAAATAAGAATTGGAGGAAATTTTCTTTGACATTGGATATATAAGCTATTCGTCAGAAAAGTGTTACCTTATGCTTATAATTTTGCAGGTAGTTATCAATCACAGCTTGTTCTAGGAGTGGTTTTGGTGTACAGTCCTCCTGGAGCTCGACCTGTTCATTCTCAACGGTCGGTTCCGGAGCAACGGTTTCAACAGGGCATAAGACTCGTTCAGCGCTTTGCTCGATTGATTTCGCTGACAAGGTTGAGCCGTTCCTGGAAATTGTGTTCGCAAATTATTGTGAATCTTTATCTTTTCATTTAAAATCAGCACTGGCTCCTGTCAACTCTCTCCGGGTGGTCTTAAAGCAGTGAACAACTCGCTCGTGACGACTAGTGTTCCCGGAATGGCGTTTTTTAATGCTAAAAGCGTAAGAGGAGTGACAGGAAAGAGGCGCAGGGAGTGAAGCCGCAATGAGTTTGCCAGTTAGGAGCTCGTCCTCGTTAAAACAGTAACTGCTCTTTGAAATTTAAAGGTTTTATTTATAAAATCAAAGCAAACCTGAAAAAGTGTTCCACATCAATGGATTCAATTGCCTGCGGTGCTTGCTGTGCCGAGGAAGGCCTTGGATCAAACAAATGCGCCTGACTGACCGTAAAACGACACATCAGACGTTTGCTGAATGATCTGGAACAGTTATTTAGCTTCTGTGCATTTCACTGCACATTATCGTTACTTTGAAGAAACAGAGCTTCTGTCGCTTTCGAATGGGGCAGGAGAAGGAGTTGCAACATGAATGCAGCATGATAAAAGATGAGACAAAAAATTAACTAAACTGGCGCATTTGCCTTAAAGATAGCCAAAAAGCGGAAAGTTTGCAAAAAACCGCTCCAAGAAAAGCTTGATTTTTTAAAACAGCTGAAAAGAAAAATTCCTGATGAAAATAAGCAATTTTGATGGAGGGGCATTCTATTGAAGGTAGGCTACCTCTTTTTCGGAAGTTAAGTTATTGTTGTAACTTTTTAATACATAAAACCATAGAGTAAATTATGGCAAACTTACGCATTGCCATTCTTCAGGCGATCAGGACATTTGTGCTGATAAAGATTTGACCGAAACTT